GCCAAGTTACTCATAGGGACAGACAGCAAACATGGAGGGGAAAGGGAATCTAGAATTCTTTAATTCTTTCTTAACCCATATTATATAACCTGGTTCCTTGACATAATTCTATTTATGCCAATATAATAACATTTATTTCTAACAAATAACCTCATTATAATTATTAGTCCACCTGGCAGTTTTATTTTTTAGAAGCTCCAGTACCGTATCTCTGAAGTTGACTCCACTTCTAGAACTAATTCATTGTCTTGAATAATATAGGGGAATTTTCTCTTTCCTCAGTTACTTCCTGTCACCAATTGTGCTGATGGGGCTTGATATACCACCGTCCCTCTTCACCTTTCTATCATGTTTGAGCACTGGTGATCCCTATTCCTTCCTGATATTTGCTGAATACTTACCTTGTGCTAAGAATTATTCTAAGTTTGGGGGATGATAGTGCTATACAGACCAATAAAATCCTTGTCTTGGAGATGCTTATATTTTAGATTAATTTTGAAAAAAAAAACATTCAAGTAAGGATTTATTTTAGGGAGTGATATGTGCAATAAAGAAATATGAAAGTTGTATGAACTGAAAGTAATAGAAGCAAGGGTATTGTTTTAGATGCAGTGATTAGGAAAAGCTTCACAGAACAATTGTCAAATGAAAGAAGACCTAAATAAATGAAGAATAAATTTTTATAGATTGTGAGGATATAATAGCAAATCCATAACTCTAGAGTAGAAGTGAAGTAACCTATTCCAGAAACTTTAGAAAACCTTGGAGTAGCAGAAACAAGAGCAAAGAAACAGGTGTCACTGTCAAGAACTCAGCAAGCCATGGAAAATGGGATGAGACCACTGGGACTTTGGTGAGGGACATTTTCCAATCAGGCTGCTGTGTGAAGACAAGGCTTCTGGGAGGATAAGAGTAGAATCAGGGACCAGCAGATGATGTAGTGGTTTTATCAGTAGACTCCCATGTAGTTGACCACAGTTCAAGACCTGGTGTCTTAAAACTCACACTGGGCACATGTGCATGCATGCACCAAATCCCAAGAGGAGAATGGAGGAGAAGGTGATTTCTCACTATCTGTCTTTGTGTCTCTTTTTGTCTCTCTGGTGAGCACACATGCCCTATAGCAAAAATCTCTCTCAAAAAAAAAATTTTTAAGACAAGAACATTTTAAAAACATAATAAATCCCCCTTATTCATCTAAAATGAGTTTTTGGAAAGCTTTCTTCTCTCATCTCTTAGTTTTGCATTAATGAAAATGCTAAGAAGATTTGATCATGAGAAAACATCCCAACAGTGATTGAAAAGTACTGATTCGTTTTTTATTTTTATTTTTATTTTTTGAGAGGCTTGTTTTTGCTATAGGGCACGTGAGCTTGCCAAAAGACAGAGAGAGATAGACAGACAGAAAGCAAGAAATCACCCCCCCGGGGAGGGGATGACCATGCTGCAATCCCTTCTCCCTCATTCTCTTCTCAGGACCTTGGGCATGCACATACACGTGCTTGACATGAGTTTAAGCCACCAGATCCAGGATTCGAACCACAGTCAACTACATGGTAGTCCAGCAACATAGCCATTATGCTAACTGCTGGTTCCAAAAAGTACTGATTCTTACATTCACTCCACTTTCTAAATTGGAATCTCTGAAGATGAAAACTATCATTGAAATTTTTTATGCATTCCTCAAGTGATTCAAAATTCGAGAACCATTGGTTGTAACTTTCGTATTCTATGGTCATTTTCTAGTGAACAAAGGCTCTGGAGGGACTGCAGGAAGTAGGTAGTACTGGCGGTGCTTGTGCTGGCGCTATTGTGCTTGTGGTGAGAAGTTCAAGATGAAAACACAGATAGGTCTATGGAGCAGAATCTGAGACAGATGTGTGAATGATTCATGCCGAAGGGATTTTTCCCTACCCACAGTGCTAATCATAGATGCTGGAATAAGACAAATATAAAGAGGGTGCTTTCCATGCAACACAAAAACAATTTTTGAAATCTTAAGAGTGTGTCAGATTAACATCATCTTAAGTTGTATTTAATTAGACCAGCCAGAAGCTTGGAGCATGAATATTTAATTTTCATAGTTAAGGATTCATGTATTGTTTTTTTTCTCAAGACCATAAGATGACAACAGAAAATGGAGATTACTAAATACTGTGTTACCTGCAAGCTGTCTCATGTTAGTAATTACATTTAGTAGTTCTCACAAGACATATAATACTTAGAAAAGAGATGCGTATTTAGAAAGTGAGCTACTCTTTTTCTCAAATGACTTAACATAAATTTAAATCTATAGAAAATAAACTAATATACCTGTCTGAACTGTGTGATAGATTCTGAAGATAAAATATGTAGTGAACATTTAAGTAGACAATCTTATCATTTTTAAGAATGACTTATGCTTTATTAACTTTAAAATAGAACATATATAATGATCTTATATTTTTGAGAAAATATTAAGTTATTACTTTAATGTTGCATAATTGATATAATTTATACAATTTATGTAGAAAATGAATGTATATATAAATGTAGAAACAGCAATGTAACACTTTTGTTATATAATAATTATAAAATATATATAAATATGATGAAACATAAACATGGTATAGTATGAAACATAAACATGGTATAGTAATTGTAAAATGAATTTTTTATAAATATTGAGTAATGTATGAAAAAATATTGAGTAAAAAATATTCATTGGCACAAGCAGATGACGTAATGGTTACATGGTTGGACTCCCACATTGTCAACTGCAGTTTGAGCCCTGGACCCGGTGGCTTAAATCTTATGCCAGATGCATGTGTATATGTGACCAAAATCCTGAGAGGAGAATAGAGGAGAAGGGATTGTGGAGTGGCCAGCCCCCCAGGGGCTGATTTCTAGCTTGTTGTCTCTCTCTGTCTCTCTGGTGAGCACACACATCCTACAGCAAAAATCTCTCTTAAAAAATATGCATTGATGGGACCAGCAGTTAGCGTAATGGCTATGTCGCTGGACTCGCACATAGTCGACCACGGTTCAAGTCCTGGACCTGGTGGCTTAAACTCACGCCAGGCGCATGTGCATATGTGTCCAAGATCCCGAGAGGAGAATGGAGGAGAAGGGATTGCGGCGTGACTTTCCCCACCGGGGGGGGTGATTTCTCGCTTTCTATCTCTTTGTCTCTCTCTGTCTGTCTGGCAAGCACACGAGCCCCATAGCAAAAACCTCTCAAAAAAAAAAAAAAATACGCATTGAGTTTACTCATAGTTGCTATTTGACTGAACATAATAACCTGGGAAATAAAACAAAACAATGAATATGTAGATGAAAAGATAGACATAAAATAGCCTTACACCTTTTATACATTTGCAAGTGTCTTGGATTTGAATATTTTAAATACTACTTTTTTTTTTAGAGGTTTTCATTATAGGGCACATGCACTCGCCAGACAGACAGAGAGAGACAGAGAGCGAGAAACCCCCCCCCAGGGGGGATGGCCATGCCACAATCCCTTCTCCTCCATTATCCTCTCAGGATCTTCGGCACGCACGCACACGTGCCCAGCGTGAGTTTTAAGCCACCAGGTCCAGGACGCAAACCGTGGTCGACTACGTGGGAGTCCAGCGACATAGCCATTAGGCTAACTGCTGGTTCCTTAAATACTGCTTTAAATTACACTTGCGATTGTTAAGAAACAAATCTATATTTCTGTCTATAATCGAAGTCATGAATTTTGGCTTCATCATGAAGATAGCTTAATTGATTTCATTCCACCTATTAAGCACCAATTTCTTAGTGTGAAAACCTGCAAGCTAGGGACCAGCAGTTAGCGTAATGGCTATGTCGCTGAACTCCCATGTAGTTGACCGCAGTCTGAGTCCCATACCTGGCAGCTTAAATTCACACTGGGTGCATGTGGTGCATGCCCAAGATCCCAAGAGGAGAATGAAGGAGAAGGGATTGTGGCATGGCCATCCCTCCTGGGGGGTGATTTCTTGCTTTCTGTCTATCTCTCTCTGTCTTTCTGGCGAGCCCACGCGCCCTATAGCAAAAACCTCATCAGAAAAAAAAAATGCAAGCCAGTAGCACATTTTGGAATCTTTACACACTTCCAAGTCATAATATATTACCCAATGTAATGAGTCCTGTAACACAAGTGTTATCTCTTATCACTATATTATCGATGGCCAATATTTTATATGAAAGTTAAGGTTTATGTATTACATTATAAGCATAATGATAGATTTTACTGGTTACTTTAATTTTACATGGATTCAATGACCTCCTTAATAGAAGAAGGCTACATTCTTCCTTTCTACCTGAGGCAGGATGCAATCTCCACAGTGGAATGTGGATCTAACACAGAGATTCCCAAGCCTGCCCATGTATTGATGTAAAACTTGGAAATTCAACTTAAGATTATTATTTTCAGAATTTTCTGGTGGTCCATGCCATTTCATTTCATCAGAGTTAGAGAAGCAGGAATCAAGATTATTTTAAAGCATCCCAAGTGCTTCTAATGTACAAAGTTTAGAGCCACAGTCAAGGACTAAAAATCAAGAGATGACTTGAGAGAAGAGACAAAAATTAGCAATGATTAAGTCTTCCTCTGATCAGAAAAATAAAAATTAAAGAAATACTTTTAAAGATGATGCTTCCTGAGAAATTTAATAATATTTTATAATAGAAATATGTTGCCCTAGGCCAGCAGGTGGCAAGGTGGTTAAGGAGCTGGACTCTTACATTGCTGACCATGGTTTGAGTCCCAGACCTGGCAGCTTGCTTTCTCTTTCTCTTTCACTTTTTTTTTCTCTCTCTAGTGCGTGCATATGCCCAAGTTTTATGCTAACACATGGCAAATTAAAATATAATAATAATGATAAATAAAATTAAATAGATTTTTAAAAAAGAAAAAATAGAACCACAAAGTCCTAAAATTCCTATTAATGGAAATCTAGAAAACTACTGGTTTGGATGGAAACTCTCATGTGCTTCTTTGTTATAAAATTCAGGAGAAATTTAGAGCCATCTAAGTGGACAGCAATCCTTGGTCTGCATATGAAATCAAACTTGACTTCTCCTCAAATAGTGTCTCGGCTGATAGATCAAGTTGTCATAAACCAATATTACGATAAACGAAGAAAAGACAATGACATTGCCATGATGCATCTTGAATTTAAAGTGGATTTCACAGGTAAAAGAAATGATTTTTAGTTATATTATTTATCTAAAGTCATTCAATAGTAGATGTGAGATAGTATCAGTATCAATGTGTTAGTAGACCATAAATATTGGATAATTCATTACAGAAATTATTATAACTTAAATGGAATTAAAGAGTGAAAAATATATTAAATTTACTACATCAAGGTGTTTAAGTATTTTTAGAGAGGACCAGTAGGTTAAAACTCAGAACCCTCAAAGGAGCAGCATAGAAATAGATCATATTATTGTGCATGCCTTCTCTATTTCTCACATAAAAGAAAGACTGGTTCATCTACCAAAAAGTCATAGTACCAGTCTTGGCGGTATAATTGATAGCATACTGAACTGCAATGCTGGAAGCTATGTGGTTGACAGCAGATTTAAACCCCTGGGCCAGTCAACAGGCAGCGACCCAGGATTCTGATAAGCTTCAGGCCTGAAGGAAGAGGGTCACAATATTTTCAAGATTGCCAAGGCTGTCTTTCCACTTTCTTTCTTATGCATGTGCCCAGTCTATCATGAATAAGATAAATAAACTTTTTTTTTTTTTTTTAAGAAACTGTCAGAATTCACTCTTAGGTATCTAACCAAAGGACAAGAGAATGCTCAGTTGGAAAAGTGCTTACATATCAATGTTTATTGTGGCTTTATTTATGGTTGCTAAGACATGGAACCAAACAGAATGTCCACAGACAGATGAATGGATTGAAGAAGTGTGGCACATATACTCTATGGAATACTATGCAGCCATAAAAAGATGACCTTGGCATTTGATAGAAAGTAGTCAAATATGGAAGATTCATTGCTGAGTGAAGCAAACTAGGCTATGAAAGAGAAACCTTGTATGTATCCACTTAACATATACCAATTATCTCCACTCTATTGTGGAGATTGAAAGATTAGAGAACATAAAAGCAGTGAAAATAGTTATGGACACTGGAGACAGTGTGGAAGGAGAATGGAAAAGGGGAAGAGTACAGGGAAGGAAATCAAAGAGAAAAAATAGAGATAGACATGCAAGACATTTGTGGGACACAGAAATGGTTTATTACCTGTTTATGATAATATATATAGCATTCTCAACTGAATTGTTCTGAGATATATTTCATATTGGGTAAATTATCTCTATAGGCCAAATGATGTATAGCAATAGAATATTTAAAAAAAATAACGAGAATAAATAATTGCAATCATAAGTTAAATAAAAGGAAAAAAAAACTATTTGATGATAATGATGTGGATAGTAAGTCTTTGTCTTAACTGATATGCACTGTAATTGTGCTGGAAAAAGAAATGTTATACACTGTAAAGATATATGTGATTAAGTGTAATATAAAATTAAAAAAATGATAAATAATACTAAAGAAAGGTCAGAGTAAGAGAAATTCAGAGAAAAGAGAAGACCACATGTTATTTGAGCAAAGTCAGTAAAAGTCCTGTTAACCATAGGATGAAATTTTTAAGGAGACTCAGTATTAGAGTGGAAGGTAAAATATTTCCTCCCAATGCTGGGAAGATGTCCAAAAATCATCTGAGAAAGTGACGTTTATCCAGTAGGTCTCTGCTTAGTTCCAACTTACACTCTGAATTCTTTCTGAGGCCCAGTTAAGAGAAAGGACAGTGATCTTCGAGATTTGTGAAATCTTTCTATGCATGTAATTGGGCATTTGTCAAAGAAAGACTAATAAGCTATAGTTAGTGTATAGACGTATCTCTGAGGTTATGCAGATACTTATTCATTGTTATATCTGCTCTGGGTCTTACATGTAGTGGGTGCTTAGTAAATTTCAGGCACTTTGTAAATTAATGCAGAAGGACCTTAAAAGTCACTGACCAATTATGATGCTTTTATAAGTACCCTATAAGCTTATTTAATGTTGATATAGTTAGAAAATGTCAGAAAAGCCTCAGAACACTTTCTCTTAATTGATCCTAAAAAGCAGTCCTACAAAATTTTCACAGAACTGGCACTACTTTCTATTAAGTATTATGAGTACATAAAAATCAATTGTAAATGGTTAATCCAGAAATACAACATTGTTTATACCATAAAAGTGTTACTAGGAGACTATACAGAAAATCCCCAACTTACCCCAGTGGCATCTAATCCATTGTGAAAGAAATGCTCCTCTCCAGTGCCTTTGTCTTCCCAGATTAATGTCTAAAAGTTGTTCAGGCTGGGTAAGACCAAAATAAAAGTTTTTGTGACTAATGTTTTTCAAAATTTGGTAGAAATACATGTATATCTACTCTTTTTTGGTTTGGTTGCATTTTTGTTTGTTTGTTTGTTTGTTTTCATTTTTCCAGATTATATACAACCTATTTGTTTACCAGAAGAAAATCAAGTTCTTCCTCCAGGAAGGAAATGCTCTATTGCTGGCTGGGGAAGGGTTGTATATCAAGGTAAATTATAAAATGCAGAAAATAAAAAGAGCTTCCTATAAAGAGTATGCTTTTGCACCATACCGTATAATTATTTTTGCAATGAAAGCATTGTAAGGCCTATATCTATATGTTGTACATTGTATAGTTGTTAAAAATGTTTCCAGATTGTGTAGAGCATGTTACAAAACTGCAATCTTTTTGAGGGGGATTTCAAGTGTCCTTCAAACTCAGTATTTAATTTTAGTACTATAAGTACTTTTATGAAGACACATATGTTTAAATGAATATAACCAAAGGTTAAAATATTAATTTCCATAGAGTACATGGATAAAGTCTCATCAAAAAAAAAAAAACACAAATTATTGCCTGTAATATTTTCTAAATCTATAAAAATATCCTTATTTATAATCTAAAGACTACACACTTGCATTTCCTAAATGAGAAGGGAAACCTTGCTAGCTTCAATAAACTGACTGTGCTTACTGACACGAAACATGTGCCCACATTCTATGACTGAAATTGATTGACTAAAAGATGTACAAACAAAGGGATGGGTGTGAATGCCAGATGTGGTGTGTGTGGAGGAGTGGGGCCTAGGGAAGGACATTTGGAGGAGGGATACAGAGGAAGAGCATTGATGAGATGGGGAGGTGTGGTGTTATTGGTTGAAGATATTTTGATCAACTGGACTGGGGAGAAATGTTCACATATTGAAATGTTCACGTTGTAAGCTAAAAAATGTGATTGAATGTATAAAAAAAAGAAAAAGAAAATAGATAAATAAAATTTAAAAAGATAAACAAACAAAAAAACGAGACATGAGTCTTACATCAAGGACTATACATTTTTTACCATTGACCCTCAGCACTCTTTAATATGTTTCCCAAGCACAAAAATGATGTATATTAAAGGTAACCAAACAAGATTTCTAAAATCCAGTATTCATACCCTCTAAATGTAACTACAGTGCTCATTAACTATGGAATTTTTGATAGGGTTACCCCATCTCAGACAAAGTTTTGACCACTCTATAATTAAGCAAAAAAGAAAGGTACTGTGGTAATCTTACAGGATATCTGACCTCTATAATGATAAAAAAAATTGTATTTAAGATGAAATAAATAAAGTTTTGTATAGAAGTGTAAGGTCTCAGAATCAAAGTATTCACAGCTAAAATATCCTTACTCTCTTAAAAGAGAAAACATAAAGTTCTAATCAAATGATTGCCTGATGATTCTGGTAAAGGTTCTCCACAACAATGACATTGTATTGCTTCATCGCTGTTGCTGTTGTCCAAACATATCCTGAAGTCAAAGACTTTATATTCTTATATTACTACCACTTGGAAAAGTCCTGGGTTAAAGACTAGAAATTGGTACTTTGTCTTTCATATTTCAAACTGAAAGACATTTTCTGACCACAATGTAGACTCTTCAAAATTATCTATTAACAAAATTTAAAGCTCCCTATTCCATAAGAAATCATTATTTTTTTTTCAAATTGAGTGAACTTGGTTTACATTTACTTATTGTTACAAAAGATAACTAATTTAAGAAAGTCTATGAGAGTGCTATGGAGCCAGAAAGAAAGCATATCTGAGATCAGTTTCATCGAATAATACATGGCTAGGTTATGTTTAAATATATTTGGATGATGTTAACTTTAATGAATTGTATTAATTTTGCCATGTGATTTTTTTCCTACTTAATTTATAAAATTTGTTTCCCTGATTTGGGGTATGTTGCACTAATTAATTAGCTAGGAAAACTGCAAACATTGTTCACTAGAAATAATTAAAGTGTATTAATTGATTTAATTAAGTCAATCAGTAAGCTTAAAATAAGTTTACTGAAATGTATGTGTGTATGTGTGTGGGGGGTGTGTGTGGTGTGTTCTCATGTTAACTTTAAGACAACTTATGTTGACAAGTAAGTATTAAGTAAAAGGTGATTGATCAAATTTTTCTTTACTGAAGAGGTTTATCGTATACCTGAACAAGCTTTTTATTCATCAAGCAGCAAAAATTTGTTTGATTTTTTTTTTGTAAAACTAGTCTACCAGCCAATTTTTGGTCTTCCTAGAATGGATGACAGTGAGATGCTAAATGTTCTACTCAATTTCAGCCTCTCCAATTCATTTTCTTAAAGTCTACTGTCAAACTTTAAAAGGCATCCAGTGGTATACTGAAGGACTCTTTCGTACCAGTTGACAACAACCATTTGTGCATATCTCCTCCCAACTCTGTGTTCACTGTCATATTAGTACCTTGAAATTGTCATCATGTGAGTATTTACACAAGGCAAGTGAGGAGAAGACATACTGGGTCTTCAGTCTTTCTGGAGAGTCAGTTGTTAACCTGATTTATCAACATACTGGCGTCATATACATGCTGTGTTACACCTAAATTACACACATGTGCACACACACACATGCACACACATCCGTTTGTTTCTTTAGTGCATGGATTAAACTTAGCTGGAAATGAAGTCTCATACACTTGCCAAATTATTTTCAACTTTCTGCTTCTTTTGAGAAACCAAACAGAATGGCTAATGATGAAAAGTGCTTATCATGTATATTTTGCAGGGCACTAGACACCTGCTTGTTTTACATCCCTCTTGGGATTAGTTTTTCAGTAAATGGAGATTCACACTTCCAGTGAATGAAATATTTCCTTTAAAAATATGGGAGTACACTCTTTGGAAATGCTTTCTTCCTCTTCACCTGCAGGGAGGTGACGAGCAAATTGCCCTTAAGTCGAGGGCAGAGTTCTTCTGAGCTTTGTCCTCTGTTCAATGTGCACCTGCCACTCACAAAGCACCACAAAGAAGCTGAACGCCACTGTATGGGTGAACAGGCTCCTCAGGTGCCAACTGAAAAGCAATTTTAAATTTCTGAGCTGTTGCTAATTTCAATGAATGGAACTCTTTTAAGAGAGTGTTTTTTTTTTTTTTTTTTTTTTTCATTCCATGAGCAATATTGTGATCTTTAAAATGATTGAAAATGCCTAAAGACCATTTAGTCCAATCCACCATTCCTATTAGCCCTTAGGAAAGAAAGCAGTTACTGTTATCCATTTGTTAAATTCCACAGATGGGCTTTATTCTGTGTTCTGAAGTGCAAGGTTTAGTATTTAGTTCCATTATATATCCACACAGAACTCAATAATGTGAGGGAAATGTTGGAATAAATATGACTGATGGAAGTTCATTCAAGGAGGCATATGGGATCACTCCTGACTGGCTGGCTGCATTTTTAACAGGTCCTACCGCAGATGTATTGCAAGAAGCTGAAGTTCCTCTTCTATCAAATGAGAAATGCCAACAACAGATGCCAGAATACAACATTACCGAAAATATGGTATGTGCAGGCTATGAAGAAGGAGGAATAGATTCTTGCCAGGTAACTGTTTAACACTGCTTGCCCTACAAGTTCAGAAAGCTTTACTCTGTGAGGATGTCATTGCCTAGCAATAATTGAGAAGTAAAGAAATCGAAGCCCCTACTATCACCTCGTCTTTTATAAAACCGTTACATTTTCTGCATAGTACTCCTTGAGTGGATCTAGCATTAGAAACAAAATTGGTTTTTGAAAAAGAAGGGTTCCAAATCAAATATCTTTAGAGACTAGAAATAATAGGTGAATGTATGAGGCAGCCAGGTAAAATAAGGATTAGAGGACCTGGGTGAAGCCACAGAGTGTGCCTCTTCGCTCAAACTATTTATTTTTAAATTTTCAATTCTTCAAACCCAATGAAAACTTAAAAAATGAAATAAGCCTGAGAGCCAATTTAGTCCATGCACCTCTAATTTTCAACCCAGGTTTAGAGTATGGTCCTGGTGTCCAATGAAATCACTTTTAGATGAAAAACAACTTCGACAGCCCACTGGAAGTACATAAAGAACTTAATAGCCTGGCATAAGTCTGGCTCTGGAACTCGTACACTAGAATGTTCACAAGACCTTTTATATTTTATTTTAATGATGTAATAACATGAACTCACTGCAGTGATAATGCCGATATTGCAATGAATTTGAAGTACCATTTTTTTAACTGCACGGCATTAGAAAAAATTTGCTCAAATGCCACTTCTGTTGACACATCTTCCCCCTAGAAATAATGTGCCAATCTATTAGTCCCATGACAACCACATACATACAAGAAATAAAAGGATTTGCTATATTTTAGAATCATAGTTAATTTTTAGGTGCAACTTTGGGTACTCATTAAGAGCACGATTTCTGTGTTCAGACTACTCTTTTTGGACCCTGGCCTTAATGCTGGTGAGACTTTGGGCACATTATTTGGGGACCATTGACAAATTTAATGAGATAAAACATGTGAACCATAAGTAAGCACTCAGAAATATTAACAGATTCTGGTATGAGTCATTGTAAATAAATTTTCTGGCATCTTGTCTGTATTTGAAGTTAATGGAATATTAATATCCACTGAATTAGATTAAACCAGATAGTATCAATGACCAAATAAATAACTTACAAGTATGAAAGCAATTTATATCAAAAACAGTTTCATTGTGCTAAATGATAAAAATGTTTTCATACATTAACACATGCGTCATAATATTTTTACAAGGCCTTTGTTTTTGTTGTTGTGTAGTTTTTTTGCTATAAGATATGCTCTCACCAGAGAAGGAGAGAGAAGGAAAGTGAGAAATCACCTCTCAGGGGAATGGCCATAACACAATGCCTTCTCCATTCTCTTCTTGGGATTTTGGGAACACATCGACATGTACCCAGCATGATTTGAAAGTTGCTGGTCTGGAACACAAACAGGGGACTTGGCTAAGTGAGATCCAACTGTCACCTCCATGCCACCTGCTGGCCCCTTTTTAACAGATCATTGTTTAGATCAATTTGTATGTGTATCCTATAGTTAAGTCAGTATCTCAAGTTGCACTAAACTTTCAACCTCATTTTATATTTATTTTGCTTTGATGAACACTTGCAAATTCAAGACAAATTGGATAGCTTTCTTCTTGTTTAAAATTTATCTATGGGTCTTATACTTCTTTTTTAAAATGAAAAGTATGCTAAAGGTAAAATATATTGCCACTTGGGAGAGATTTATCGAATTATTTGGGAGGAGGAAAATCAGCTATACATTCAATTACAGTTAATGGGATTTGTGTGACAGTCATCTTGTGTATTAGGTAGAAAATCTTATGACTGGTGCTATTGATGGTAGGGTTACATTAAGCCAATAACTCATGCCACATCTTTGAAATTTTATAGTCTTACCAGCTCTGATTTATACAGAGTCTAACTATATTATTCATTGTCAAATTTAAAAAGCTCCAGAACAGACAATACCTTGTATAATATAATGTTATCATAATTGAGTAATCAATACTTGAGACTGTCACATGATTTCCTTCATTCAACATTAACAATGTCTTATGAGTTTTAACAGGTTAAATAAGAACGCATTATTGAAAATTGTGAACAAATTACTGATACATTATTTGAATAAGTTCTTGAGGCATATTTTTATTCTGATAGCAGCTAATAATTTGACTTATAAATTATATTCACATACTTTTGAAGCTCTCCAAAGGCTTGCATTTTTGAGGCAGTTTTCTGGACTTACAGGCAACACTAGTAACTGAAGAACAACCTCTATATAAATAAAACTAAGAGAGTGCCGTTCTACTAGCTGTTCAGAGCTATATTCTAAGTAGTCCTGTTGGTTCAGTCAAGCAAATTAGACTCACCTGAAAACCTGTTAGAAATGCAAATTCTCAGGTCCTGTTGCACACCTGATACATCAGAAACTCTGAAGGTTGAGCCTGGCAATATCTTTTTCACCATACCTTTCAGGTGATTCTGATGCATCCTCAAAATGTGGGAACCACTATGCTAAACAAAAATGGTAACTAGCATTTATACTCAGAAACCCAAAGAAAGTAGTGATCTTGGTTTTTATTTATAAACATAGCAGTTAAGTGCAAAGATAAATTTACGGTTTACATTTTATGTTCTGGACACTTACTCATATTTTACACCTTATTTTACATTTATTTATATATATTTTTAGAAAGCAAACATTACAGAAGTGTTTTTTTTTTCCAACAGAGAACTTGACATTCTTTTGTCTGTAAACGTTTCTTCCTTTTGCCCCTCACGCCCACCCTCTACCACCCACTATCATGCACTTGCCTCCTTTATAGGCCCGGGTATCTACTCTTGTCCTACTGTCATATTTTTGGATCTTTCCTTTTCTTCCATAGAGTTTAGACATTTGGGACACTCTAAGTGGGGATACACAGTGAGTCTTTTATTTTTAAGTACATATACATCTCAGACATAGTAGACAAATATCTTCATTGAGCAAATCAGAAAATTAAGCCAAGGTTAAGTTACATAACTTAACTGAGATGGTGTGGTTGGATAACGAGAAGTGATACAAACAGACCTAGATCTCCCAGCCAGATAGATAGCCCAGCAAGCACATAGGCAACAAGACTTCTAAATGGTCCTGGAGTAACTGCAGTTGACCCAGTATGTTTTGGGTAAGTTAAAATCCTTATATACTCAACATCCAGATTCTCTTGTCCATTGAAAAAATTACTTCGGAAAATATTTTAAAAAGTCAATGGCTTCTTAAAAAATATCCAAGTAGCTGGAGTTTATTTTTAATAATTTCGTGTATAATGTACTTGAATCTTTGTACTATTTCTGAACATATGTTACAAACTAAAAGCTTAGGACACAGAAAGAAAAAAACTTACAGTCACTGTCTTCATACAGCTTGGTTACATTTGTTACATATTGAGTAAGTGTAGCTGGTGGTTGCCAATGTAATTGATGTTCTTCTGCACTGAAAAGAGTAAAGCCCTATGATAGACCACATTTCTTTCCCTTCAATATAAGGCCCAAAGATGATAAAGAGTCAGGAAAAAAAAACACACACTTTACTGACATGAAGCAAAATTAAAATATTCTATTACAGCACTGATTTCAAAGTACAGATAAAACTTTTTAAAATCCTTCATAAATATAAAAATAGATTAATTAAAGATACTTGCACAATTAATATGATGAAATACTTGTTAATTTTATGTCATTAAATAATGATCCTATGTGTTTACATTACCTTTATCTGTATTACACAAGAATCATATGCAAATAAAGTCTATGTAATTAATTCTACCAGGATCTGTTAAAATTGATATCTATGAAAAATAATATTTTCCACCAGTTGAAATATCAGATGAAACCATGTATTCCTATCATTAGAAATTATATCATAGATTTGCCCATTTCAGTTGAAATTTAAGTTTTTCAGCTTTGTGTTTATTGAATACCACATAGTTAAGGCTACCCAAAAGAACAGAAATCACTTTTTCTGTGAGTTTTTACATTTTTTTATAAGCATGTTATGAAATAACTTGTTTTTTTTTTCCATGAAGTCCTTGTTAGAGCATATCTCCTTTAATAAAATTATGGGCTTATTATAGTTGTGTTGGGATATATGTACTTTAGAAAATTTCTTACTATCTATTAAAATGCCTTAAAGTGAGAAAAAGCTTGCTATCAACATGTGTGATAAAAAATTGTAAGTCGTGTATTAGCTGTCAGTTTCTCTGTCCTCTTACTGAGAAGAAGAGAGGTATCCATGACCTAGAGTAACAGTGGTAAATGATGCGTCATTAAATAATATTTCTGAATGGACTTTCTAGAAACTATCTTATGTATTTATATCAGTTGACCACATCTCTGTAATTTTCTTTTGCAATTCCCTCTTCAGGGGGATTCAGGAGGACCACTAATGTGCCAAGAAAACAACAGGTGGTTTCTTGCTGGTGTGACCTCATTTGGAATCCAGTGTGCCTTGCCTAATCGCCCAGGGGTGTATGCCCGAGTCTCCAGATTCACAGAATGGATTCAAAGTTTTCTACATTAGAGCATTTTTTAAACCAAATATGAAAGCTGGGAAGTATTCCCATTCCACTTTAGAAGCATGGAAATTGAGAATTTTGTTGAAAACAAAAAGGAAAGAAAGAGAAAAATACTAAAAGCCTTTATTCTTACCTAAATCACTGAAATATTGGGGGTAGAATAAAATAAAACAGAAATTAAGCTTAATTCCTAAAATATAAAGTGATGTAAAATACATTTTAATGTCATTGTAAAGTTATTCTTTCACATAAGTCATTTCTTTTGTCTTGAATCATTATTTTTTAATGTTATTTGAAGGATGTTCTTTAAGTACACACCATATACTTAAGAAATTGGGAACTAAACTAGAAAAATAAGTAAAATAAATTATTTTGCCTGAAATATGTCATTGTTTGAAATAAACTGCTATAAATTGTCTAATTCCAGTTTTGCCTGCTTTATCAGAATCTCAATATATTCCTGTATTTCTATATAATGCATTTTTGTTTTCACTTGAGCATATCCTTAATAATATTTTTCCCACTTAATGTAAGAATATTACATTATGGACCTAGGTTAAATTGACTTAATATTCCTGTCAAATAAGCTAATAAAATATAAAATAGGCACACATCTACATAGCACTGTAGCATCAAAATAAAAACTAAATTAACTGATATGATCTTTCTGTATCAGATCCTTTTTTATGTGGATCATTCATACTGCCCACTTATTTCAAGCTAATATATTTAACTCTCCAAAACAAAAATCATACATATCAAAGAAATACAACTATTAAATTTTTTTATTGTCATACATGTGTTATAACGGATGTCTAACATGTACTAAACTTACTTAGACACAGCTAAATTACCCATTAGAAGAACAAAAATGTGCAATAAATGAATTTGCTTTGCTTCTTTAATCTCGTGGATCATTTCCACAGCAAGTACAAACTTCAGTTTAGCTTTCCACATGGAGTCTGTTGATCTAGTTGGGGGAACTAAATTCATACCTACTCAGTACAAAACATACACATGCATTCTGCATGAGTCAATATAATAGAAGAGAATAAAGTTTGAAGGAGTTGAAAGAAGGAATTAATCAATATGTATTTGGCCTTACGGGAGAACACAGACTTGAGTTATACCTGGAAAGATTGATTATTGTTGTATGGAAATGTGTATTAAGAACCACTGTGGGGTCAGCAGGTGGCGTGGTGGTTAAGGGCACAGGACTCCTACATGGCTGACCATGGTTCGAGTCCTAGACCTGGTGCCTTGCTTTCTCACTTTCCTTCTCCCTGTTCTCTCTCACTCTGTCCCTCTCTGGTCTAATTTAAATAAATAAATAAAATTAAATAAAATAATTCCGAAAAATAAAAAAGAACCACAGTGCATGTGAGAGTGATCCTGAAGTTCAGGAAGAGGGTTCAGTAGAGAAATATGCATTATTTTCTAGGGAACTGTCAGTGTGTATGTTTGTGTGTGTGTGTGTGTGTGTGTGTGTGTGTGTTTAATGTCATATAAAGAAGGTGTGACCAGAAAATGGAAGACTGCATTTCTGGTAAAGGATGTAAAATTTATTCTTAGGACAAAAATCAGGAGCCCTGAACATATTGTTCCTTTTAAAAAATATATTTGACACCATACTGCTTCTGTTGTTACAGTCATAAAAATATACAAAATTATAAGAAATATTCTGAACATTATCTTTAAAATTCAGTATTTTGAAATTTTGAAAGTTGTTTATAAACTGTCAAGAACTATGGAAAAAATTTTATTTTATTATAATATCTAATTTAGAAATAATCATTGTACATATTCATAAAAAAATATAAAAGAAAAAAAAAACCTTTCCAATGACCCAATCCTAACAGAAACATGGAGCAACAGGATGTTTTTGTTTTGCTTTTGTTTCTTCTTTTCTTTTTTGTTTGAACTCTTTCATGAGAGATAGAGTCAAAGACAAGGACACAGACACAGACACCGAAGCCGAGAGACAGGCATCCCCAAAAGGGACTTCACACCACTATCCATCCCCAGCCCCAGCTGCCTAGAATCACAGGCACATGTTTGTACCTGATGTGATCAGGGAGGACCCAAGATGCAAAACCAGACCTTTTACATGTGAGTCCAGCTGTGTTACCACTGCCACACCACCTGTTCACTGGTGTTTGTTTTCAGTATCTGAAGGTTGTTCCACATTTTGTCTTCATTTTCAAATATGTACTCAAAATATGTCAGAAAGTATAAACTCTAACAACAGATACACCATGTACTCTTTCTCATTTTTAAAAAGTCAGCTGAAATTTTAAAAAGCCCTTGGGATAGCATTCCTGTCATCTCCCCCCACCCCCAGGTATTTGCCATGGGCATGTGTGCTCACCAGAGAGACACAGAGATAGAGAGAGAGAAAGTGAGAATTCACCCCCTCAGGGGGAATGACCATCCATCCCCAGCCCCAGCTGCCTAGAATCACAGGCACATGTTTGTACCTGATGTGATCAGGGAGGACCCAAGATGCAAAACCAGACCTTTTACATGTGAGTCCAGCTGTGTTACCACTGCCACACCACCTGTTCACTGGTGTTTGTTTTCAGTATCTGAAGGTTGTTCCACATTTTGTCTTCATTTTCAAATATGTACTCAAAATATGTCAGAAAGTATAAACTCTAACAACAGATACACCATGTACTCTTTCTCATTTTTAAAAAGTCAGCTGAAATTTTAAAAAGCCCTTGGGATAGCATTCCTGTCATCTCCCCCCACCCCCAGGTATTTGCCATGGGCATGTGTGCTCGCCAGAGAGACACAGAGACAGAGAGAGAGAAAGTGAGAATTCACCCCCTCAGGGGGAATGACCACACCATAATCCCTTCTCCATTTTCCACCTGGGGTTTTGTGCATGTACACTCACATATGATTTTTTAAGATGCCAGGGCCAGGACTCAAACTGTATTCAACCATATGGGAGTCCACTGCCCAACCACCACAACACCTGCCTGCCCCACTATCATCTTCTAATGAGAAGACACTTCGTTATTTCACCCACCACTTATGGGCTTACAGTCATTGCTACCAGAAGATTTATCCAGACATGTATAAAGATAAAATGCAAAACCACCTCTTTGCTGCTTCTGCTTTGTAGTTGTTATAGTCCTGGGTGGCACAGACAAAAGGGAAAGCCTAGTTTCCCTCCATCAAATCTTAGAAGAAATGCGTGGTAATATCTTGGAGGGAAGAGACAGATCCCAGAAGCTGTTTTCTCATTCTACCCAGAAAGATGGGTAGCCAAGAAAAGAAAGAGGACTTCTAAGTGTGGGCTGATTATGTGTGTGCCCGTACTCTCTAAGCAGCTAGGAAAGGGCAAATGCCCATCAATTCTTATTTTACTTATTAGTTTTGCCAACTGACTCCAGTGGTGAATTTCATAAATGAAAGTACTTTATAATTTAAAAAGTTTTGACAGGAAAAACTTAGGTTTCCTCATTTACTCTAAATATAACTATATATGTTATATAAAAAGTGAACTAAAAAATAATGAATAACTTCCATTCTTATCATATAGAGTAATTTAATGAATCACTAATAAATAATAAACAATTTCCATTCCTATCACACTTACAATTTTTTTACAATGTCATGTATTTATGCAAATACATCTTGTTTTTAGTCACATAAAAATGATTTTTTTTTCTCTAGTATCTACAGTTGCCCTCCCTGATACTATTTTTTGTTTAAGTTTCTTTATTGAGAGAGAGAGAGACAGGGGACCTCCAACAATGTTTTGGATCCTCTCCCCAGTCTGCCAGCTAGCCAGGGTCATTGGCATGCCTGTAGGCACTCCCAGAGTGTTCAGGTTGTTCTGGGATTCAAACCCTGGGCTTCCCTGTATGACCCCAGCATTGTGCAGTACTGCCCTACCACCTGCACCATCATGGCTGGGCCACATAAAACATTTAGACCACATCAATGACCATCCTTCAGAAACAAGAACTCTTTATTTGGTTAAAAGGTTCACAGCACATTTGAAGACCAGATAATTACAACTCTCTCAAGAAGAACAAGATGTAAGCATTGATAAAATTCACAGACAATAAGACAGAAAGGAGCCACTGTTGCTACCTCAAGTGGACCCTCATGAATGAATATATGATTAATGAAGACTTTCAATTCATTTTCACTCTAATTACTACTTCTCTTTCCTTTATGAAATGTCAGTGTGTTGTGCTTAGCTCCACACTGTTGGAGATCATTCATTTGGTCTCATCTGTAAGTCATCTTTACATACTAACTACTTCTAGGAAAACTTTGACAAACTGCAACCATCTGCCTCTAGTGTCAATCTCAAATCCCAAACAACCACATTTGTTTCGCAGGCAGAAGGGGGGACCACATTGCTTTCAGAACACTCAGAGAGCCATTTGTAGTTAAACAGGCAACATATGAAGACATATGATTTATATCATGTATGCCATTTCTTTTGTTGTAAATTGACAATATCACTGATTACACAGTTATTAATGAAGGTATTTTAATACAAAATTTGTTGAATTTAAACTAAAAATAGTTGTAAGGCACATGTCTTGCACAATTGAAATTGGACAATTCTTGCCTCTAAGTAAGATGTTTGAGATTTATACCTCAGTTAATGAAATACTTTATTTCTGAAGAGATTTCCTAAATATTGTCTGAACAAAATCGGAAAAAACTAAAAGATGATGAGCCATTTATAGAAAAGAAAATTTTTATAGTATTATATTTGTGTGTGTGAATTCAATAGACAACAATGATAAATTTCTTTAATCACAACAGTATGTATTGAAAAAGGAAAAGCCATAAAAATAAATATTAGGACAGTCTATTTTTATCAAATATTTATGCAAAGGTAAAATATTTTGCACATTGTAAATTTCAATACAATTTACATTACACTAACTAGATTACAACATATGAAAGGTGAAACAAATAAAAATAACTGCTCTCAACACACATATTCCTGATATGTTGATAGCAATTTTATCTGCATGGTCCATTCCCTTTACTTGAAGTTTGAATGCATCCTTTAGCAAAATAAGCATGTCTTACTCCATTATTAGCAGAGCATATTTTGTAAATGAAATAATAAACATATAAAAATTATTTTAATATTTGCCTCGGGGGGAGCTTACAGTTCATCTTGCAAATCCTTTGAGATTTTAAGCCATTCCAAACTAATGTTCAGTTGCCATTCCTTGTACAGATCCAGAATTAGAATACTCTTATTTTCTTTTCTGGAGTCAAAACAATGGATTATTATACTTCCATGCCGCTTTCCTTTCGGGTGCTCTTTGAAATCCACAATGTGGACTGGTTTGGGCTAGTTTTTGTTCTTCCTTTACTGAAAGAAATAAGAAGAAATAAGTTCAGTGCCTGAAACTTCTTATCAAGCTAGGCATGTGTTGGTCCAAATGCAGATACTTCATATATTTAGTAATAAAATGGTCTCTCTTCTCTCACCAGCATATTTTTCCATTCCTACAAAAAAAATTCTGGATTATTACAATGTGTGATGATGACAAACAACTCATAAATAATGAAAAATAGTGTATCATTCTCTGTTTGACTTTTCATAAGTTAGAGTACAGATACAGATAAAAATGTGTCTTACACAAAATTAAAAAAAAATTATCAATAAACCTCTGGATATTCTTTGATTAATGATTTTTGAAATCTTACTTTTAGAGTATCCTGCCACTAATATATGCTGAGTTTAATATCAATTCATCAAAATGATGTTATTGTACTAAATGTAAAACTTGGCTCTTCCCCTTCTCCTATCAGTTTTTTTTTTTTGTTTTCTCTATACTTGGGTCACTCAACCCTGAAACTTAAGTGTGCTCAGTCTCTGAAACCAAAATAGTTCAAGAGCAGATTCAGGTTTGGTAACTTAGAAGTGTCTGAGTTTCTCCAAGTCTCAGATAAAACTTCACTCTTGTCAAATTTCTAATTCAGAACCACATTTCCAGCCTGTGCCTAGGGTGCTTCTGTCTTCTGTCTTTTCACAGAATGATCACTTTTCAGGCTCCTGCAAAAGTATTTATTCTTGACTCTACCCAAGTCATCCTCTGCCAGAATACTTGTTTAGAACTAGATTTCACTGTCAGTATGTTGAAGCAACCTCTGCACTCCCATGTTCATTTCAGCACTATTCATAATAACCAAGAGATGATATCAACCTAAGTGTTCATGGATGAATGGATAAAATGTGGCATATTTACATAATGACATATTCAGCCATAAAAAAAAGAATGAAGACCTCCATACACACAACATGGATGAACCTGGAGGACATTGTGTTAAGTGAAATAAGCCAAGCAAGGAGAGACAAATACTAATGCTCTCACCCATATATGAAAAGCTCAAAATCTTGAACTCATACTCATACAGGCAAAGAGTAGAATAGTGGTTACCAGAAGCTGGGAACTGCAAGGAAGAGGGGCAGTTAGAGAGAGGTTGGTTAGCAGGTATGAAAATAAAGTTAGAAAGAAAGATCACATTTTAGTGTTCCACAGCACAGCAGAGTGATGGTAGTTAAAAATAATTTATTGTGTATTTCAAAATAGTGAGAAAAGAGGATTTTGAATGTTCTCTACACAAACAATAAGTGTCTGAGCTGAGAGATCAGCTAATTACCCTGATATGAACATTATAACTTACGGTATACATGTATCAGAATAACACTATGGTCAGCCCATGGCCTGGAGGTTAAAGTGGCTAGATTCCCTATAGTCAGTTGCTCAATTTCACTTCTGGATTGGTGGCATGAAAAACACGTCATGTGCATATGCATGCATGCTCAAAATCCTGGAAGGAGAGAGAAATGAGGAGAAAAGACTACAGCACAGTCATGGGCCATGGAGTGGGTACTTTCTCGCTCTCTCTTTCTCCCCCATGATTGTGCGCATCCTCTGGCAAATTAAAAAAAAAAGTAATAAATCAGATCAGTACATACATATACACATAATCACTCTATAGGGATGGCACAGTGATTAGGAGCTATGTGAAGGGAGCCAGATCCTCCTTCATGGCCAACCTCAGTTCTAATTCCAGCCCAGAAGGCTTATTAAACAAACTGCACACATGCTCAGGATTCTGATGAGATGTGGAGGAAAGGAGATTGTGGCATGACTAGGCCCTCTTGGGGAATGCTTTCTGTAACTGTTTCTCTGACACACAAATCCTCTGAAATTAAAAATACGTATCACATTGTAACCTATAATATATATACACTTACTATGTGTTGATGATCTTTTTCTTTCCTTCTTTCTTTTTTTAAATCTAGATTCCCATGCTCTGATTTCCCAAGGATGACCTTGTATGGAACATTGCCCTTTGCCTGTCCTTATTCACTGCATCCATCATTTACTTTCTGTCCTGAACACCCCCATCCTTAGCCCTTAGCATCTGCCTCAGCCTCCACAGACATACATTCTCCTATCTCATCCTCTCCATCAATCAGGCATTACAGACCTAATGCAATTTAAAAATATTATTTAACTTACTTCTGTGTAACTGCTTTTTCCAGTAAAATACTATACTCAAAATGTATACTTATTTTGGAGCTTTTTAATCCAAGTACATAAGATCAATATTACTTTAAAAAGTAATCTAACATGAATAGAAAAGAAGCAAAGTAGATGTTTTTAAAAGGTAAAAATGTGTTACTAATGTGTTTTTCTGTGTAGAATTAGTATTTCATTTAACAATTAAGAAGTAAGAAAACAAAGCTTATTTTGAACATGACATGGAATGACAGAAACCATCATGTGTACCAGATTGGAATTTAAACTTTCTGCAAGGCACTCAGATGATAATGGAGTTGAGTCTTTGATGAAATTTCTCCTTGCCTTCCTGGAAGAAAGGAAAAGGGGAGGATCTAAGAATGAATGAATGAAGCACTACAGATAATCTTGGCAACTGAAGGTGCTCTATTTTGGTTTATTTTCTCACTCTGAAAATTCCAAACAAATGAAAACTCCACAGATCTTCAAGCTGTAAAAATGTAAGAGACTTTGAATAAATAAAATTACTATAATAACATAGTATTTGAAAGAACAAGTTTTAGAGAAAATTCAGTTACTTGGCACTTTAGTCATTTTTACTACACAAATGAGAATGTCCAAATAATGTTTTTAATAATTTTTTCAAGGTAATTTGACACTTTAAAAGGCAGGATGGATATTCATAGGATAGTAGATGAAGCATTAACATTTAATAAATTGCTACAAACCTGAAAAAAAAGTCAGAATACTCCCCAGAAATCTTGCTATTAAGGTACAATTTATTTCAGGCCAGTTGGTGGTGTGCTGGTTAAAACAACTGGATCCCACATAGCCAACTGTGCATTTGGAGCCCTAGACCCAGCAGCTTTGACGTTAGAGACACACTAGGCACATGTGTGCCTGCCCAAAATCCCTAGAGAAGAATGGAGCAGAGGGGGCTGTGGTGTGGCCATCCCCTTTTGGAAAGGGGGATGATTTCACACTTTCTCACTCTCTCACTCTCTCTCTCTTATCTCTCTCTGCCACTGGTGGATGCACATGCCTTATAGCAAACACACACACACACACACACATGTGTGTGTGTGTGTGTGTGTATGAGTATATATATATACATATATATAATTGCAAGACGCCTTCAAAAAATGACCCATCTTTACCACTATACTTCATTTCCAATTCTTAAAAGATTCCTTTGAAATGTAAATCAATGACTTGAATTTTGAAAAGGTATCACAAAGTACACCTAATGAAAATCAGATCTTATGGGACCAGTAGATTACGTAATGGCTACGTCGCTGGACTCCCATGTAATTGATTGCGGCTTGATTCCTGGACCCAGTGGCTTAAATTCACACCAGGCATATGTAAATACATACCCAGGATCCCAAGAGGAGAATGGAGGGGAAAGGATTGTGGTGTGGCCATCCCTTCCCTCCTGATGGGATGATTTCTCACTTTCTATCTCTCTGTCTCTCTCTGTCTTTCTGGTGAGTGTACCCACCCTATAACAAAAACCTCTCCAAAAAAAAAAAAATCAGATCTTGTATATAGCTTAACATTAAAATGGAAAGGTTTAGCATTGTAGCCAGTGGGTGTTGTGGTGATTAAAGTGCTAGTCTCTCGCATGGACAACCGTGGTTCGAGCCCTGTCCCAGCAGTGTGAAAGTCATGGGCAGGTGTGTGTACAAGCCTACAATCCCAAGAGGAGAATGGAAGAAAAGGGACAATGGCATGGCCAGCACCCATGGGAGGTGATTTCTCACTTTCCCTCTCTTTGTCTCTCTCCAGAGAATGCACATTCACTATGGCAAAAATCAAAAATAAATAAATACATAAATAAAAAATAAAAAAGGAAGAAAGGTCTAGCACTAATTTTACACCTAATAAACAAGAGAGTATAGTACAATGCATATGATATAAACCTATACACATTCAAGTTTTATATCCACCATACACACTATCTATGGAACCTGAGGCATACTAAGTAATCCATCTAAACTACCAGCTTCTCTCCTGACAAATAGACATGTAAAGGTAGCTGCTTTATAGACTTGTGAGGAATAATTGAGCCACTGCATAAATTGTATAATAAAAGAAGATTGCATACAATTGGTTTGGATGGGCAGATATAAAAATCAGGACTTTCTTAAAACAAATTCAAAAAATAATTAATTTTATACTAATATTTTAAAAGACTTTTGAAAACCTTCCTAAAGGTTTTCAAGTTGTTGCTACATATATAAATTCCTTACCTTTTATGCAACATCTGGAAACAGCAAGTTCCAAAAGCAACCAGTATCAGTAAAAGTAGAGGTATCGTTGGTATAACAACATAAATTAGGTTGGGAATTATGCCTGAAAAAGAAAAGTCCTAGTGCATAAAGATATCTAAGGAAATATTCTAACACCAAAATTATGTGTAAATTTTCCCAAAAAATAGGGTACAACAGAATTATCATCAATAAATAAGCTCTAGGGACTAGCAGTTAATGTAATGGTTATGTCGCTGGACTTCCATGTAGTCGACCGCGGTTCGAGTCCTGCACCTGGCGGCTTAAACTCACGCCGGGCGTGTGTGCATGCATTCCCAAGATGCCGAGAGGAAAATTCAAAGAAGGGATTGTGGCATAGCCATCCTCCCTGGGGTGATTTCTTGCTTTCTATCTCTCTGTCTCTCTGTCTTTCTGGCGAGTGCACACGCCCTGTAGCAAAAAACCTCTCCAAAACAATAAATAAATAAATAAATATATAAATAAGCTCTAGACAAGATTCTTCTCAAATTACTAAACCATTTCCTGAAATAACACATTTATGTTTGGGTAAAATTTTAGAAAACAAAAGTACATTGTACTGGTGATCAGCCTTTAATTCACTATCCATACTTCTAAAACTGTAATTAAATCTGCAATTCAGGCATGGATTAGTTTTCATAATATATTAGCAATCTTAGCTATCTTGCTCCACTAATCCTGCTTAATCATAACTCAGAGAAACGAGCACTGATTATTTAAAAATATTTTTTATTAAAATTATTGTTGACTTATTGGATAAATAATTATCCTAACTAATAAGCTCTGTGTCATGACAACATGCCAGAGTATCTGAGATTAAGCTGAAATATGTCTATATTAACTGATGATACAATCATAACCCTGAGACACAATATTTCAGAAGAACAAAGACTTGATCTTAATTAAATTCTAAGATGAATCATGCTTTTAATCCTGCTTTATCACACTTGATAATATTAGGCATTCTTAGTAAAACAAAATACTGCAACACTGAAGTCCCACACAGCTTAAAATGACTTTATTAAATATATACAATGTGATAAGAGGAAAATTATTCCTAGTGAAATTATTTACTAATATCTGTAATTAGAATGAGAAATTCTGAGTGATTATAAAACTAGGCACCTAAAAAGTAAAAAGCACTAAGTCTTAGTATCATGTCTAAACACTAGAATTGAAGAACTATGCATTTAGCTTGCAAATTGAATGTCCTTATCATAGCTAAACTAAATAATTTAAGTCAAAGTGGCCTGGAAGCAGAGCAAGCTTTCAACTCAACTGTATGTCACTTCCTTTGTTAACTGAAGGAAACATGAAACCCAATGATGTATTCTGGAACTAATTTACTAATCTTCTATCTGCTCTTCTGAGTCTCTAACAGGTCACTTCAAGCATTTTAAATATTTCCTTTCTTCTTTTCAATGTCATGATGATTCCTAATATATAATACTAAAAAAAAAAAGAGAAAGTATTTGCTTCATTTTTATGAATGTTAGATGACCTTTGAGAGATTTTGAGACTTCAGGTCTTCAGGTTAGTCTTCACAAAGCAACTAGGATAAACAAACTTTTCTGTCCAACTGGCACAGGGTAATGCTACAAAGAGCCCTTAGCTGACAATTGAAATCAGGTGCTGACTCAGATGGGATTTGCCTTGGATATTAGCATTTTGTTAGCTATGCAAGCAGTGTTGTGCTGAAAGTAGTTAGATTGAGAGCTCATTATTTGCCTCTCTTCCTAACCTGGGGTTTAGTGATACCATTTTGCTAGACTGAAACTGGCCAGAGTAGGAATATTTACACCAAGGAAACTGGCAAAGGCGACAAATCAGGGCTTTTATTTTATTTTCCATCTCCGCCCCAGCCAATTCCTTGATATTTACCAGCACACCTTGTTTTCAAGACATCGAATGTGCCAATTAACATCCTATGTCTACAAATTTTTAGAGAAATTCCATGTATATTTATGTTTTGGTGTAATTTAGTTTAGTACCAAATACAGTCAACTGAAGTGACATTCTGAAGTTCTATTAAAAAACTAGTTTAGCATAATTTTTTCTAACCTAGCTCAAAAATAAACTTCCATAACCATATTTGGTACATCAATTTCCCCTTCAATTAGAGGTGACCCTGGAGCAGCATTTGAAAGCAGCATTTGAAAATAGAGTCTTATTTCTGCTTTTAATGAGATCCTTTTATTGTATTATTAGGGTTTTTTTTTTAAAGAAATAATATATTTATATTGAAATAGTAGCATTTGAAAATTTAAAAATATTAATAAAATAAGTGGAAGACAAGAAAACTGTGTTTAGGTCTTGAATTTAAAAATAATGCTGACAATTTTTACTGTTATCTTTTCCAAGTAAATTAGATGAGTGAAAGGAAGTTATATGAACTTATTACCTGCTTCAGTAACAACCACATTTTCCTGGGTGTCTCCTGGTTTATTTGTAAGAGAAGGCTTTTCTACAGGAACTGTTGGAGTAATCTCTGTAAATAATAAATACAGGCACCATACAAAATGATTTAATAATAGGAATCCAGACAGATAAAAGTAAAAGTTTATTATAAGACCCAAACAATTATGATTTTGATTTCTGAACATAGCTATAAACTTACAGCTAATAAAAGACATTCTGAGTTTAAATTTACATAAAATTATCTAACTGCAAAGTTAATGTTAGTTATCTTTGAATAAAAGATCCTCTTTTGATGAATTCCTCTTCATCTAGCAATGAACACTGGGTTTGCACCAATGACACCCTGCTGTGGCAATAACGACAAGTCAGGTATAAAGTTAAGCAAAGATGAGCATGAATTGGTGAACATTATGTGAGACATTGAACACAATTTAATGACAAGCAAAGACAATTTCTTCATTAATATCATGCAATAGTTAGGTTTCTCCTAGCAATAATAATCAGCAGATGACTGCACTAATTGCATTTGGAACTGGTAACTCAAGCAACAATGTTCTACAGCACATTGCATCCTCCACAAGCAATGCCATCTTTAGACTTGCTTTCCATTGGAGTCTACTTCTGTCAATAATAAATTAAAACTTGTAAGTTGCATCTTTCCCTGGTTTTATGAGATGAGATCTCTTTAACCAACACTTTCTTTTAAAATGTTGAAGTTTCTGATCATGATCTGGTACTAATCTATTTCCTATATATTTCCCCTGAGGAATTATTTATTAAATAAATCATTCAATAAAGATAAATTAAAATAGTAAGAACAAAACACATGTATTAATATATGTTCCAAAAGTGTAATTCTCTTATTTACTTTTGTCAGTTGATTTTAAAAGAAAACGCAGCATCTTATATAGTCTTTAGAATATAAAAGCATGCTAATATGTTTACTACTTTTATGTTGTTATAGTCTCTATTTATTGGAAGTTTAATAATACACTATCCTGGGACCAGCAAGTGGCATGATGGTTAAGGGCACAGACTCCCACATGGCTGACTGTGGTTCGAGCCCCAGACCTGGTGGATTGCTTTCTTACTCTTTCTCTCTCCCCTTTTCTCTCTCTCTCTCCCCCCGTCACTGGTCAAACTAAAAATAAATAAATAAATAAAGTTAATGAAAATAATTTTAAAAATATACTATCCTGTAGTAATATTTATTACTACTGTATATAGGTTTTACCCTGACATTTTAGTGACCTCCTGTAGGTTTCAGATTCAGCCCTTAAACTCACTGTTCTACATAATTTATTCTATTATAATAGGTGGCTATTTGCTAAACAAGTAATACAAATATTATACAACTTATCAGCATAAACCTGTTTTTTATTAATTTCAGCAAACTTTAATGAAATTGTTAATTAAATATTAAAATGTTAGAAACATAATCACATGCATGCTAAAATTCATCATGACTTTTCCAATAATCCAACATTTTTAATATCTAAGAATAAGAATACAAAAGGCAATTTTAATACAGAAATTAAATTTAGAAACATCCCCATGAAAATGTCTTTGGATAATATTGATAGACCCAAAATATTAGATATGTAATTCACAGGTCAGTAACAAAACGAAGGAAAGGAAATCAAGAGCTCTTTTTTTAATCTGTCATTAGATTTTTAATTATCTTAGATCTCATGATGGCATAATTTACAAATCTATACTGATAGTATATCTCCTCTACTTTAATCCTTTCAATAAATTGGCAAAAGCACCATTATCAATCACACATATACAGTAGTTCTTCAGTTTCTATACGGTTTTGAACAGTTGTCCAACAATCCTGAAATATAACTTAGTTTGACTTAGATAATAGAATTCAAGGTAAAACTTAACTTGCTACTAAATCTTGTCAAACTGACTTTCAAAAGCATCTGACCTTTCAAATCATTTATGAAATATATGAAGTACTACATATTCTTTATTTGATAGCATACACAAACCACATCAAAATATCTTTCAGTAAGTAAAAGGCAGTGTTTTGGATACAGGGAATTCTAATTAGATTGGCACAGTTATGACCAAATACATAAAGTAGGGACATCAGTGTGTTATCTACAGTCTTTGACTTTAATAGGTTAATGAACACAAATTAAAACCCAAGTGAACCTGCTCAGTTTTGAGAAGTGAAGGGATTTCTCCATCATTTATATATTCATATAACCAGTTACACATAAGCTTAAATAAATAAATAAATAATCTCTGTTTTGAGATGGTATTCACAATCTTTGTAGAAAGACAAGTGTCACTAATGAATTATCAATTATATCTTTGGAAACGGCAAATAGTGATAACACTTACTGAACTGAAATTACTACAAAAAATTTTTAAAACCCAACAATATTAATTTAAGCTTATGTGAGTCTTACTTAAACAGTCTTACTTAAATCAGGACTATCCAACAAAAATATCCTGTCAGTCATTCATGATCTGCGTTCTGGTGTAGGAGATCAATTAAAATATGGTACACATAAAAAACGTCAGACATTTCTATTTTGTCATAAATAAATCAGTGGCCACCTATTACTCATTAGTAGCTTTTTAAAGAAAAGCTATCAATTCTTCTCTTTCCAACTTCTTTTTAATGTCAGCAAAGATCACTTTTGTTCCAGAGACGTACTTCTTGGAATTCTCCAAATATCCCATCAGTATATCTTCTCCCCAGGTGATGCCTTTGTTCTTGATGGCATCTGTGTAAAATAATCCAGGGACCTGACCTGTCTTCTGCCCAAATAGACCATGGAGATTTGGGCTAGTCTTGCACTTGCCTCTCTTTTCCATGGCATTGCACTGGGCACATTTTGGAACAAAATCTTCTTGCTTTTCTCAACATCACTCATTTTTTTTTTTTTTTTTGGAGAGATTTTCACAGTAGGGCGCGTGCGCTCGCCAGACAGAGAGAGACATAGAGACAGAAAGTGAGAAATCACCACCCAGGGGGGATGGTCACGCCGCAATCCCTTCTCCTCCATTCTCCTCTAGGGATCTTGGGCACACACGCACATGCGCCCGGCGTGAGTTTTAAGCCACCGGGTCCGGGACACGAACCGCGGTCGACTATGTGGGAGTCCAGCGACATAGCCATTACGCTAACTGCTGGTTCCCTCAACATCACTCATTTTTAATTCTCTCTTTTGTCACTTGGGATATAGAGTTCCCACTCAGAAGCCAGATATGTTTTTCTCTCAGAAATTAAGAACTCTTTAAAGTGAACTACTTGGCATCAACAGGGGGCATGGTGGTTAGGGCATTGAATTCCCACATGGCAGGCTGAAGTTCAAGTCTTGAACTTGGCAGCTTGCTTTCTTACTTTTGTCTTTCTTTCTCTCTCTCCCTCTCTCTCTCTCTCTCTCTCTCTCGTCTTTCTCTGGTGAGTGCATGTACCCTATAGAATATCTTAAAATGATTATATTAATAAATAAAATTAAATAAATAATTCTTTTTAAGTGATTACTCAACTTCTTCATAGGCAAGTTAACATGCTACCACTTTGTATTCATTAATTATGATATTAGATGATGTGTATGAGCAGAAACACTACACAGAGATCAAATAACTTAGTAGCTTTAGTTAAATTGGAGAATAAGGTTCAAAATAATCAGCATTATAATTTATAAGTGTAATTAGCTATGCTTCATAGACCTCTAACTAAGTTTCCTCATCACTAAAAAAAAATCAATCACTACATAACCAGAGAATTTAATCAAACCAGTTTCTTTTACAAAACAAACATTAAGATCAAGGCAGGTTAACTAAATAAAAATAAAGATTAAAAAGTAAAATAAAGAATAACAATCTTGGGTGCATTAAGAAATCCAACTGTGCCTGTGCTTCAAAAAATTTAAATGTAAAAAGCATGTTAATAAATATAGATTATTTGAGGTTTGGAGAAGCATGTAAAAGATAAAGAAAAGAATATTTTCATAGCTTGACTGCTCTTAGGAGAGTAATATGCATCTAGGTTACCTAATACAAACAAATAAAAAAAACTGTAAGGTTGCTAGTGTCCTAAACAAGAGGGTAAATTTGAATACAAAAATAAATAAATAAGTAAAACAAATGGTCTAAGAACTTAAAGAAAGGAGAGGGCAATATTATGTCAAGAATATGCTGTAATGTATTCTTTGTTTTATTCAACCCTTTTAAGTATATACAGTGTTGTAAATTTAAAATATAAAAGCATCTTAACTTCATATTTTTCCAGGAGTATATACAGTGTTGTAAATTTAAAATATAAAAAAATCTCAACTTCATATTTTTCCAGGAGAAAAAAATAAGTAAAACATAAGTACATGACAGACTTATTTTGCAAAACTTGCAGGAAGATAATGATGGATTTAGCAATCAAAGGGGTTAAAGAATGAACTAACCAGGGATATTAAAAAAAAAAATTGGTTAATATACTCAAGAGCAGGATAAATATAAGAGAAGGGTAAATTTAATCCAAATAATCCCTTGTGCTTTACAGTTTTATGAGAAAAGGAATCATGTAATATCAAGAGAATGATAGAAGCAGTAGCACTTGATGATAATTACCTTTCATGCATACATATTATGAGGTCAAGCCGACAACCTTTCAGAAGAGTTTAAATGACACTTCCAAACAGTAAGGAGAAGAAAAATAGAAAATAAAAATCTGGAAGCCTTAGGATCTCACTTGATTTTTCTCAGGGGATTTTTAAAAAATTAGTATGAAGAGTTTTAATGTGTCCCTTTTTCAGTCAAATAACAATTTACTTGAGCTGTCCTATTTAAAGTAACATACTATTGCAATAGAAAACCACAGTATTAAAGTTCAAGTCAATGCAACTTGCTGCATGACAGGAAGTTGGAAATTTTAAAAGAAAGCTCACTAAAGGGCCATTATTTCAAATGCTGGGAATCACTCCCCATGGGGGATGGCCATGCCACAATCCCTTCTCCTCCATTCTCCTCTCAGGATCTTGGGCACGCACATACATGTGCCTGGAGTGAGGTTAAGCCACCGGGTCAGGGACTCGAACCGTGGTTGTCTATATGGGAGTCCAGCAACGTAGCCATTATGCCAACTGCTGGTCCCAATGTTTACAATATCTTAAAACAGATATTCACTGTTCACAATGTCAGTTTTTTAAAAAAATACAATTTGGTTTCAATATTAAAAATAATATGTATGTATTTTTTTTTTGTAACACCTTTCCAGATGTTTCTATCTACTCTTTCCTGTTTTACTCACTGGGCAGTTTTCTCTGTAGCATACAAGGTGCTTGGTTTCCCTGAGGGATATGAAAGCTCAAAAGTGATTCTATATTTCGTAGCAGAAAAAAAGAGCCAAAGGAAGTAAAGCTTAAAGACAAAGTAAAATATAAGCAGATATGCACAAAATCTGTTAAACCTATTTACCATACTTCTTACCTGGTTCATACTTGCAGATATAATTGTGCTTCATATTACACCTGTCATCATTCCACTGGTAAAGGTAGGGACCCCCAAGGCCTGGATTGGCAGTTGGTTGATGATACATCACAACACACTTTTCACTTCCACAGGAAGGTTCATCTGTATACCAGTTTCTGCAGATAGAGATTAAGAGGAACATTTAGACGTGTGCTTTCAAGTGATTTCTGCCTGCAAAAAAAATCCAAAAATAACAAAACCCTTTTTTAACTCATTTGAGTCCCTCAGAACATCACAGATCAGGGCTCCTCAAGATCCACACTCACCGGTATTGGGAACTGCTTCCATCAGACCACCGGTAGAGATCTGGGCAGGTACCAGAAGTTTGCCCATCTCCATTTCTCCAGAGCCCTATCCAGAAATCACCATCAGAAATTCCAGTTCCGGGTTTTGTCAGGTTTTGCAGCATACTCTCTATTAGTTTCTGTTCTACTTCATTTTCTAGACTGAGGAGGACTCCTCCCTCACTCTCACAAGCCAAGCGTGCCTCCTGGAAACTCACTCGGCTGGACAGATCATGGAAGTAGGCCATTTTGTAGCAAGGATGCTTGAAGTTAGCAAAACACACCTTTTGGCCTGGGGGAAGAATGAGAAAAAAGATGCCCATAAATTGATTATCTGAGCTGTATTTATAACACTGCTAAGAGTCAAAATTAAAGAATCATTCAAAACAGGAAATAGACTATCAAGACTATTTCTCTTACTGAGTCATTTTGTAAGGTTTATTTTTCTAACCTCTTACTTTTAATTTATAAAAGCAAATTGATTCCTCAGTAAACTTAGAACATAAGCTTTTAAATGTACTTCATGGATATATTTGTTAAGGGAAGTAATAATTCTTCTATTTATGTTTTATAAACAAATTATCATGGCAAGAAAAAGTTGCTAAAGGAATTTCAGGTATATAGTTATGTGGGCTAAAAGGTCAAGTCATCAAAAGCAGATAATTTATAAAAAGAATTTAATTTTAAAAATAAGTAAAGTAAAACAAAACCATTTGTCTTCTAAAGAAGACACAAAGGGGCAAAGTTAAGGTGTAAATATTTGCTTTTATTGTCTACCTGAAAGCAAATCTATTTAAATAAAAGTTAATAGAGGCCACAATGAAGGTAATTGTAGCAATAAACAATTAATTTATATATTACACCAGTAGTGACAGAATTCTATAAAATGTGCTAGCTTTGAAAAAAATCTTATTGCCAATTTTAGGTTTTTATTGGACATACTGTGTGAACTTCAATCCCTAGGACTGCATTTTCTCACATTTTACAGAAATATTCTTGACTAAGTCATAAATTTCAAACAAAATCTCCCAAATTTGAATCAGATATATACTTTTTAAAAAGGAATGCAGGGACCAGCAGTTGGCATAATGGTTATGTCACTGGACTCTCAAGTAGTCAACCGCAGTTTAAGTCCTAGACCTGGTGGCTTAAACTCACACCGGGCATGTGTGTGTACATGCCCAAAATCCTGAGAGGAGAATAGAGGAGAAGGGATTGTGGTATGGCCATCCCCCTGGGGGGTGATTTCCCACTTTCTGTCTCTCTGTCTCTCTCTTGTCTTTCTGCCCAAGTGCATGCGCCCTGTAGCAAAAACCTCCCCGCCCCTGCCAAAAAAAGGAATGCATTTTAAATGTGGGAAAAAGTAAAGAAGGTAGTAAAATCTCAGCAATGGATAATTATTTTCAATTTTTGATAATTTGGATGAGATCAGAGTAGTCTAAAATTTGAACAAATTTATCTTCAAAAGACAGTTAAACCATTAACTCAAAACAAATAAGATGATGAATATTTAGCAGCTCTAGGAGTTATGTTTATATATTAAACACAGCCTAAAAAATAATGACTTCTTCAACTTTAACCTAAAAAATGCACTCTCAGACTATGAAATTAATTCCTTTGTGAGTTCAAAACATTGCAGTTTTAGACCTTCTGTAGTTCAGAATAATTTAAAACCAGATTTATTTAAAGTTACCTTTTCCTGCAATTAATCTTAGGTATTAGTTGTTTTGTGGTATGTTACTTAGGAGTGAAGTTTGGGAACAATCAAATGTCCATAATCTGCAAATAAACAGAATATTCAAAATTTGAAAGGGACATTTAAAATTTAATTTTTATTTTGTGTGTATGTGTGTGTATTTAGGTTTTGGCATGGAGCATGTAAGCTTGCCAAAGACACAGAGACAGTGAGAAGGGAAGTGAGAAATAACTTCCCAGGAGAAATGGCCAAGCCACAACCTCTTCTTCTCTGTTCTCCTCTCAGGTCTCAGGATTTTGGGTATAAAAGCACATGCATCTAGTGTGAGTCTCAAGCTGCTGAATTCAGGACTTGAAACATGGGCAGCCATCTGGGAGTCCAGTGCCTTAACTACTATGGCACCTGCTGGCCCCTGTGCTTGTTTTCTTAAAGGCTTATATATAAGTTGCAGTACTCAGTATACCTACTACTCTGATATCTTTTGTCTTTAAAAGTCACTATATATAGAGAGAAAATAAATCTGTTTCAAGACATTAGCCAGTTCCACAAACAAAGCCTAAGATAATTCTCAAGACTTAATAGGAAGTTACCTTTAATCGAACTTCATTGTTGTGACATCATTAATTTACTTCTTTGCTAACAACATCAGTGAAGTCTTAAATACACAGGCAATAAAGGATTGATAAGTATCTCTCACAATTGAATTTAACATATCCCTAGATATTAAGAACAAAGTTTCCTAGTTACTTGATGACATAATTGCAAATATGCATGTTCAAATTGGATCATAATAAAGTCATATATATAATATCTATCTATCTATCTATCTATCTATCTATCCAGAGATATACATACAGACATGTTTATACATGTATATATGTGAGTGTGTGTGTGTGTGTACATCAATATTTAGGAATTAGCTAACTCTACCAGCAATGGAATTCCTATTATTCTATTGACCACAATTTTCCCTTTCAACACCAAACATGTGCACCATGATTGTAGAAACAATCTCCAGCAAGTTCACACGGTCCTATTCCAGTTTTTGTGAGTTTCTTCTGTTTATCTCTGATCCTTGCTGTCAACCTCAAAAATTGTCACGGATCCTTGTCTGTAACTATTCCTCATCTCCAAACTGCTGTCTATAGCCTTCATACTTTCTTAGTCTCACGTTTGCCTTTGGAAATCAGGCTACCAACTAGTTTATGTAGTTAAATCAAATTACTTTATGTTAAGAAATTAAGGCTTAGTTTTACTGCTTTTTTTTTTTTCCTGAGAGATTTTTGCTATAGGGCACATGCTCTCTCCAGAAAGACAGAGACAGAGAGACAGAAAGCAAGAAAGAAAGCATCCCCCATGGGGGATGGCCATGCCACAACCCCTTCTCCTCTATTCTCCTGTCAGGATCTTGGGCATGCATGCACACATGCCTTGCATGAGTTTAAGCCACCGGGTCTGGGATTCAAACCATGATCAACTACATGGGAGTCCAGCGACACAGGCATTACGCCAACTGCTGGTCCAAGTTTTATTGCTTACTTAAGACTCATCTGCATGAATATATTCTTGCTGGGTTAAAGGCCTGCATTACTACATATTTAATGTAGTAACCTATAAAGAAAAATTGTTAGTAGTGGGGTGGGTCTGAGTAATGTCATTGTATTTAAACAGAGGTGAAAAAAAAATGATTTAAGCTTTGTGCTCTTCATTAAAGTATACCACACTGGAATTGTGTATCACATACATTCCTCCTAAAATCAACAACTAAGGGACCATCAGTTGGCATAATGGCTATGTCACTGGACTCCTGTGTAGTTGACTGTGGTTCAAGTCCCAGACCCGGTGGGTTAAACTCACGCTGGGCACATGTGCATGCGTGCCCATGATCCCGAGAGGAGAATGGAGGAGAAGGGATTGTGGCGTGGCCATACCCCCTGGGGGGTGATTTCTCGCTTTCTGTCTGTCTCTCTCTGTCTTTCTGGCAAGTGCACACGCCCTATAGCAAAAATCTCTCAAAAAAACAAAAACAAAAACAGAAACAAAAACAAAAACAATTAATGATCTATGATGCACTCAGAGGCAAGAAACAGAAACCAAAGGAAGGCCATTAACTTCACAGCAGTTTGAGTGATGATATTCACTAGCTTCATATAAACTGAGGACAGTCAATTAATGAAATAGCCATGACAGCAATGAAAGCAAGCCAGCTCATGGTCCCCTCTGTCTAATTAACTTATCTGGATCCAGGATCAACACATTAAAAAATAGAAACAAATTAACAGATTGCCCATACAAATTACTAGTGAGGATTCAACAGGGGGTGTGGTGGTTGAGGTGCTGGACTCCCACATGCCCAACCACAGTTTTAGTATTGGACCTAGCAGCTTGAATAGCATACCAGGTATGTGTGCGTGTGTGCCCAAAATTCCAAGAGGAGAATAGAAGAGAGGGGATTATGGCATGGCCATCACCCCTGAGGGGTGATTTCTCACTTTTCCTCTCTCTGTCTCTCTCTGCTTGCCTCTGTCTTTTAGTGTCTCTCTCTCTCTTTCTCTCTCTCCCTCTGTCTGGTGAACATACATGCCTTATGGCAAAAACTAAAAAAAAATTGGGATCAGCAGTTAGCGTAATGGCTATGTCGCAGGACTCCCATGTTGTAGACCACAGTTCGTGTCCCGGACCCGGTGGCTTAAAACTCAGCCGGGCACGTGTGCATGTATGCCCAAGATTCTGAGAGGAGAATGAAGGAGAAAGGATTGTGGTATGGCCATCCCCCCCGGGGGGTGATTTCTCACTTTCCGTCTCTCTGTCTCTGTCTGTCTGGCAAGCACACGTGCCCTATAGCAAAAACCTCTTCAAAAAAAAAAAAAAAAACTTAAAAAAAATTGTTAGTTTTCTCATTAACTATGTAGAAAGGAGGTCTTTAATCCCAACAAGAATAATGTTTATGCAGATGACTCATAAGAAAACAGTAAAACTATGCCTTAATTTCTTAGTGTAAAGTAATTCAACTTAGAAAAATAACATTAGTATCAATGCCTACAGGAAATGAATTTAAAAGTCTAACTGTAGTCTTTGAGAAATAATCATGAAAGTTGCAATGGTTGACTCTAATACAATTAATGTATTATTTTAAATTTTTTTCTAATATATTTTTAGGTGTTTAATGACTACATTGTTTAAAATACTTCTCCTAATGATAGTGTTACAATGTCATTAAACATATATTTTTATGCCTCTATTTTAGAAGTAAGCTGTGTTTCCATTTTTTTCATTTATTACATTCTTTACATATCTCTAAGTTTCCAAATGTATCTTAACTATATTCCCTTGAGTTTTCAAGTTGTGCAAGTTTTTGCTCTAAGAACTTTCCATCTTAGATTTGATTCCAGCACTTTGAAATGTTAAATGAGTCCAATGAAATTATTTTGCAAGAACAAAACAAAAAACAGAATACCAGAAATTGAAATGAGTGAAAAATTACTTATGTGTAACAAAACCAGCACACAGTCAGGGGCTACCTGTGTATGATTTGTATGCTATAAGTCATTGTTCATTATCTTTAATAAATGAAAAAATAAATGCAGCACTGATTT